TCACCTCTGAATAGAAGGCAAACTGCCATGTATTTGCCATGTCGTGGATCGCATTTCACCATTTGGTTATGTGGTTCGAAACACCTGGAAATGTAAATATTCGGGAAGAAGACTCCAGGTCTGTGCCAAAATAGAAGAAATGTACTTCAAAACTTACATGTTAGTAATTTCAGCAACAGAGAGTTGTTCATGGTAGGCTTTTTCAGCAGAGATCACTGGCGAGAATGTGGCGAGCGGGAAGTGGATACGGGGATACGGTACAAGATTTGTCTGGAAACGAGAATTTTCAATGAACTCAAACAGTGTCCATGACTGCCCGTGCCAACTCCGTTCCAGCGCCATGCCGGAGCGTCGTGACTGACACAGCGCTAGCACGGAGCTGGCGCAGTGCTGACACAGCGTTAGCACAAGGACTATGAAGCTCAGCTAGGTTCGACTTACCTGGAACTCGGTTAGATCTACATTGAGCGCACCATCAAAGCGCAACGAAGCAGTAATGGAAGATACGATTTGGCCTAAAACGCCTTTGATTAGTCATGGTCCAAAAAATTGCATTAGAAAAACACGAAAATCCTCGGTCTTACCAATAAGCCTGTTTAGATTAGTATAGCTAGGTCGTTCAATGTCCAAATTTCGCCTGCAGATGTCATAGATGGCCTCGTTATCGACCATAAACGAGCAATCCGAATGTTCCAATGTGGTGTGCGTGGTTAAAATCGAATTGTACGGCTCAACAACAGCTGTTGAAACCTGAAAAAAGCATATATGGAAAAGAGGGATGAAAGACCTTGGCAGGGAAAAGATGGAAAGTGGAGCACGGTGAGAAAAATAAAGCTAGATAAATTATTTTTTGACATTTGAAGCACAAGTCATGGAAACTATTTCGGGCCAACGAAAATCATGAGATCTTACATTGGTGTTCGGAGTAAATTTGTGCTGATCGAGCGTGTCGGCTTATGAATAGGAATATATCAGTATGTGATCAGAAATTTGCCAGTGAGTTTTTTTCCAACAAGTATATGTAATGAATAAAAACTGTGTTCAAGAATTTTCGATGCAAGAATTACCGAAAAACCTAGTACATAAATAATTGGTTTTCTGCAATCTGTTGCACTATAAATGCTGTTTATCGGCAGAAATCTGGGAAAAACTGAGTTGCGCAATTAATACGCTTCCTAACTAAATTTTCTTGCTTATAACAACAATTTTCAGCAGAAGAACTTGTTTCTGATATACTGCTGGCAAATTTGTAAAACTCTACGACCATTATTGGTCAAGAAAAATTTTTTTTTCAATAGTACTACTGCAAACAAATCCATCTGAGAGTTGTACGAGTGAGCTGATAAATTATCACGTTTTCCCACATACATACGAATTTTTGCCCAAAACAAAAACGCCGTAATCTGCGCTGAGCACACTTGCCTGTGGAGCTGGATAGACTGAAAACTCCAGTTTAGCCTTCTTGCCGTAGTCTACCGATAGCCTTTCCATGAGCAAGGATGTGAATCCAGATCCAGTGCCACCACCGAACGAATGGAACACGAGGAATCCCTAAATGAGCATAATCAAAAAATTGAAGAAGTTCGTTCAGAAGAGTTTCAGGATAATTTATTCAGATGAAACTTGGTCTCACAATGTATATTTCAAGAATTAACTGTTCAGTTACACAACGCTAATTTAACCTTTTGGCGCTGGAAACCAGAAAAGGGATGTTTGAACAAATTTTACCCATTTCAAGATAATGTTAATGCACGCCGTCGTTCCCCATTTTTTTTTGTTTCTGATTTGTTAATTCGGATATTCTCATAAATTACCTATCAAAATACAGCTAGGAATGATAAAATGAAATAGTTTTTCTCCCCATTATTACATATTCTTCAGTGTTCATTCTTTATTCTCCTCTTTTGCCAAATTCTATGGAGTCGTCTCTCGTAGACATTGTTCAACAGTCAACTTGCGCGAACCCATTAACCTTGTCATATTTCATTCATTGTGGAAAGTCGTAACGTCATGTAAAAAGGCAAAATAGCCGCATCCAACGACTTGCTCGTTTCAACATATGAACTCATAACATACCGGTTCCTTAATACTTCCTGCTATTGTGGCCGTTACGAGACTGTTAAAGATTTATGCAAACATGCTGAGCAATTTGAAAAGATACTTTCATAAAAACTCCTTATAATGGTATTTTGAGTCAAAAAATCGTATCTAACAGATTTCAACCCACACCGCTTTCCATAGTGAAGAAGATGAACTTCTGAACTACTTATAAAATATGCGCCTTTCCAAGTCCTGGTCATATGATTATTCTTGGGCGAGTCTCAGAAGCCATATAATTGTATGATACTACGGCAGTCTCTGAGGAATTTGAGGAACCAGATTATGAGTGAATTTCAATGAAACGTGTTTCTTCTCTCTCATATGTTTGTCAAAGTTAGCTGCGCCTAATTACGTTTCCACTACAGTATCCATTACAGAATCTTTATATGGGAAAAATTTTCACGTAGTTACAATTTAATGCGCGAGTGCACTACCGCGTCGAAGTAAATGGTTTTCAAACTATCAAGGTAAGTTTGTTATTGCAAAGCCAGGATCCAGACGAGAAAATCAACAAAGGCGCAGAAACAAGAATACATTTAGAGAAAACTGGAAGATTTCATACTGTTGTTCAACGATATTTATTGAAACACTTATCTCTTGCAACTACAGAAATTTTTGGTACAAAAAATTTGGCACGTATTTTTATGAGGAGTGATCTAGGTGGGCTTGAAGTGTTCGCAGTGTTGCTATTACCCACAGTGAAGACTGAATTTTATTTTTAAATAGGAGATGTACCTGAAGTCCAGTGCAGTTGTCTGCAAGGCGTCTGATGCGATCCAGGGTGAGGTCGATGATTTCCTAAAATCATTGTTGATTAAATTTCTTTGCTGAAATGTGAGTTTCCTAAAATCACTGTTGAATAAGTTTCTTTGGAATGTGCAATTAAAGATTCTGCATGATAAGGTTGACCATGGGTTCAAGATCTCGTACTTTTTTTCAACATATTCTTTATGCTGATTTAGCTTTGAAATGTACTAATTGAAGACTTCGCACAATCGATGCGTTAGTTCAAATCCATTATGCTCTTGATGCAACTGCAGCTACTCAGCTGTATACTTTGCGTTAGTTTCTCAATATAGCCACGAGTATCCATTTTCCAAATTAGTCATGCAGTGTATAATTACACTATGGAAACATTGTCACAAGAGACCCAAACCACCAACCTTTCCGATTGTGTAGTGTCCACGTGCATAGTTATTAGCTGCGTCTTCTTTGCCAGTGATAAGTTGTTCGGGATGGAACAGCGATCGGTAGGTGCCGGTGCGGATCTCATCTGAATGCAATTTGCAATAAGTACGATGCTAATCAAGATTTCTATCCTTGGTGAGTTCTATATACGTCGTCA